TCAAACTTAAATCACAAGGTTAGCTCTGGATTGAAGTAGTCACTTCAGCGACCAACCGCGGGTGTTGGAAGTTTTTGACGACCGAGGAGGGTGTTGTACGATTACATCTGTAGTGCAATACAGTTTCAACATCCTTAACTAGACCATAGTTGATATTAAGCGAATGGACGCCAAAACGAGAAAGCTTCTCATCTGCCACCTCATGAATCATCCTAATATTGATTATCTGTATGTGCCCAGATCCGAAGAGGCACGTGCAGACGATCAACATCGAGGCAGAGGATTAGTTCAGCTAGAACAGTCTTAAAAAACTACATCGACTGGCCTTCAAAGACACCTGGAAACTACAGAAGACTGGATGATGATATGTATCAAAGAACATGAAGGTAGTACGCGATTATTCATTAATAAAGGAAGCCAACAAGTTGAAAATGGAGTTTCAAATGGGTGAAGAAATACAAACACGATACACCGACTGAAGCTGCAAAATACTTAAAAAATGAAAGCAAAAGCAAACCCGTACCAAACAAGCTGATGTAGACAAACTCATTAGTAGCTACGCAGTGTAGGCTTAAAAGCTGAAACCGAAGGTTTTATTCTTGCTGTACATAACCACTGCTTGTTAACTAGAAATTATCAAGCAGACATCCTGAAAAATTGTGTTAGTCCAAAATGCAGATTCTGTAATAAATATTCAGAAACAATCGACCATCTTGTATCAGGTTGCACGGTATTAGCACCCACTGAATATAAAATACAGCATGACAGAGTGGGCCAATATCTGCACTGGAAAATCTGCAATTTATACGGAAAGGAAACTGAAAGAAATTAATATGAACACCACCCAGACCTGTTTACGGAGATAGGACCTTTCACAATTTGATGGGACTTCACAATACACACAAAAAGAACAATCAAAGCTAATCGCCCAGACATCGTTATTAGAGGCCACAAACAAAAGTGCCACTTTATTGATATGGCAGTCCCTGCAGATTGCGATGTATCTTTGAAGATCTTCAAAATCTATCAAAATATAAGGACCTTGAAATCGAAATCTAAAAATTATGGTACATGAGAATATCAATAATTCCAGTTGTAGTTTGATCCCTCGATTTCAATAGACTTATTGAAAGAATTCTTAGAAGCCCATGCCTTAAAGAAATACAAAAAATTGTTCTCACGAGTACAGCCCACACCTTACAAAGGGCTTTATCTATGTAAAGTATGTGTGATTTTTTTTTAAATTGCTCAGTAGAAAATGTCATGGTGCCATTTCTGACCTTAGGTCTCTGATCGGGAACTAGAAAGAAATGAGTAAACACCAGGAATCAAAGGAAATAAAATAATAATATGTATAAATATTTGATACATTTATTTCCGGTGCGATCTAGCACCTGTAACGATTTTACACATGATGTCCCTACAAAATAATCTTGAGCCAAGCGTTTAAAAATACTAGTAATGTAGTCAACAAAGTCTTGTATACGACACAGACAATACGCAGTTCTTGATGAAGCCTTGAACTGGTGAAAGTATTTGAACAAAAACAGAACAAAACATGAACTTCAAACAGTTTACCTACATTTTGATCCTGATATACAACGTCTTATTCAAAAATAGGAAACATGTAATAAAAATTTAAAGAGACAAAAGAGGATGAAATGATATTTTAAAAAGACACTGTAATGTAACAAAATTTGTTTGGATGATTTCTGACTGCTTAAAACATACGTATATATATATATATATATATATATATATATATATATATATATATATATATTATAAATTAATTGATTTAAAATGATTTTTTTTCGCTACACAGTTCTAACCATGTTTCAAAAATGGAAGCTAAAATTTCGCTTGAGGATGAAATGGAACTAATGTCTTTAATCACAAAATTAAATTCGTGGCTTTTAGCTTCCATTTTTGAAACATGGTTAGAACTGTGTAGCGAAAAAACCATATTTTAAATCAATTAATTTATAATATTAATGCTCTGTAAATTTACATTGAACACTATTTTGTAAAAATAAAAATATCTATAAGAACACCGGATTATATATCTTGCTGTTTTTTTTTTTATATATATATTATATATATATATATATATATATATATATATATATACGATAAAATATAGTTTGAAGGTATGCTATATTTATGGGTTTAGAGGATAGAGCATATGTAAATATAAAAGTGGATATGAATTCAGCACCCGAAGGTGACAATCGGTTTCACACTTAAGTTAATCGTCAGACCTGACTATTGCGTTTAGGGTGAAAATCCATAATAATAACAAATATTTTAATCCTAACAATATAGATTTAATTCTTACTTATCGCTTAAAGTGCATATAATACATCTATTTAATTTATGAATTCTTAAAATAACTAGCACGTTTGTCGCCATCGGTAAAATAAAAATCTTAAATATATTTTTTTAATCATTTCACCCCAAGCAAAGCAATAAAGCTACTAAGATGCAGCAGATTAGTGTGAAAGAATACAAGAAAAACATTATTAATGAGCGAGAACAATAAAGGACGAGAAAATTAAAAGACGGAATATAACGTATATACAATATATATATATATATATATATATATATATATATATATATATATAATAGACATTACGTTTTATAAATGGGGATTAAATACTTATTAGGGTGAGGTATTTATTTTTATCAGTTATTTATCCATTAGAATCACTATATTTTTGTTACTATCAATAAAATAAAGTATTTCTTATATTGTAAAATAAATATTTTCATATTTTTGCTTGAAAGACATAATCTTTTCCTTTTTCCTTTAATCTAGAAATATAAAAATTACAAATTTACTCAACATCGATTTCGCCAGTGCTATGATTACAGTTTTGGGATTATATACTCTTCTTAATTCTTAAGTGGCTTAATGTTCTAATATCCGTTTTTCCTACGCTGATGCTCAATACATAACTTTATTAGACAAATGGAAATTTCTTATTTGGTACTTGCAAAAACTATAAAATTCGAATGATGTCTCCAGATTATTTACCGAAGTACTTGTAGTACAATTATTTAGGATTAAGTAGATTTCAGTAATTTACTCCGTGACAAAGATGTTCATCTAACGATAATTCATGTGTTATTTTCATTACATAAATACATTCATGAAATAAACACTTAGTTCAAAAAGTTTACTTTCCCATGTTCATGTCTTCAAGTCTAATATTTTATCTCTGGCTTCTTATTCATTAGAAAACGTCTTCCAAACTCTGAGCTTCCTGGGTATGACGATAAACTACATCCGCGTCCTTGGTAAGAAGATAAACTATATCCAGCAACAAGGCTTCTGATCAGGAGATTTTGAGGAGGAACGTGGAACCACCTCTTAATTGCTGGTGTTCCCAGGTCAATGCTGACCCGGGGTGATAGCACCTGCTGAGTTTCAGCTATGGGCAAATAGTTAACCCCCAAACTGAAGTCAAAACACTACGAAAATGTAAAAATAGGTTTTAATACCAGCTATACATTTTTGGAAATACCTAAACTATCATGAGCAAGAAGAAAAAATTATTACCAGCAATACATTATTATCAGCAATATATTTTTGGAAAAATTATTACCAGCAATACATTTTTGAAAAAAAATATTACCAACACTAAAAATCGTGTCGGCATTAAATAATCCATTGAAGTTGGTATGCCGTAAAACAAACCAAACGAAATCAAACTCTGACTCACTGAATGACTAAATCTGATAAAGGAACAATATCGGTCTACAAATCTTCAGTACCGAATCATTTCAAACATCACGGCAAGGGGGAAATGAGTGCCACAATTTATTTAATCTCTTCTTAGACTATATTCTACACATGTACAAGTACAGATGTGAAGAAATGGGAACTAATCATTTTAGCATTCCATACCACATCCCAAACGGATCTACAAATAAAAAACTATGTTCTTACTTTTCCCTCCCGAGGTCAGTGTACTGATGATTGGTGCAGATATTCTGATAAGACAGACATTCATAGTTTCGATCAGAATGATCGTGAACATAAACTCATTCGTTCTTTACCAAGTATTCCAAGAAATAGGACTCAAAATAAATCTTTCCAAAACAAAAACTATGATTGGGATTGCAATAAAAGCAATGATGGCACCTACCCTAAAGCCATCATTAAAATTCAGCATCTTGAATTGATAAATACTAAACACTTCAAATATCTCGGTATATGAATCAGTTATAACAAACTTAGGATAGAGGATTAGAAACTTGAACATAGAATAGGCAGAACTATAGGGTACTCTTTTGCAACGCAACCAGATGCTATAAGAGCAACACATTAATCTAGGAACTCGAGTCATGTTCTTAAATAAACTAATTAGATCAAGATTTTCATACGGATTTCATTCAGAAACAGTCAACTGCATACAAACACTTTCTCAGATCAGTGATTAAAATGGCTTCCAGCGAATTAATTTTTTAAGCTTTAGAGGAGTCTGTCCTTCTTTGAACCTCATGAGATGACGCTATAAAATCACAAACAAACAAATATGCCAGGTACCAGAAACCATCGTATTTGAGGAATTTCAACAGCAGCAATAACTAAAATGGATAGCGCATGCAACTCAAAGAGAAAATAATAACGTAACCACACTACTTCGAAAAAAAAAAAGGTTAGGTTCCATCAATACTGGAAAGAACGATAACAGTGGACTTGAGGAACTTGTTTTCCTGAAAATTTGTTTTAATAGAACGATTTTATAAATTTCAACTGACAATAGCACTTTCTTTTCGATCAATGAATGCCGTCTATTTCCTTAGAAAGAAATGGCTAATGTTACCATTACAATTACTATAAGATTGATATCTGATATTACGCTATAAAGAAATTAAATTTCAGATATGAAATCACAAACTTATGAAATCCATAGTATATTAATAAGATAGGTGCTTTTAATAGAAAATGGCTTTACACAAAAACATCTAAGGAAAAGTCTCATAGAATTTTAGCAACAGAATGAAGATAAAAACTGCCAAAAAAGAAATGTTGCCAGACACTGGAGAAAAAGACAGCCTCGAACTCTTTCGAGCAAGAGGTTTTTAGGTGCAGAGGTTACAATATTTACCTAAGTAAAATAAATATGAGCAAAATATAGTGTTGATGGGGTGGGTGGGAAATTGTGTCAGATTAGTTAAAACCATGAACCAAATAAACATTTATCGAATTCCCTCCAAAATAATTTCTTCCAAGAATTGAAAATTTTTGGATTTTTCAAATTCTTTTTCTGATTTTTCAAATTCTTTTTCTGATTTGTACTTGTAAGTTACAAAATTAAAGTTCAATTGAGAAATAAACACGTTATAAAAGACAAATGTCACTAACTATAAAGCCTCTTACAGGTTCTAAACATATGTAATGTTTATTAATTACAAATTAAATATTTTCATTATATTGGTTTCTGTCATAAAAAAAATTATTACATCCTACTGGTTTCATTTTTTAAATATTGATGATATTGTATTTCAACAAAAAATGTTAAAAAAAAGGCTTGCTCTACTGTTATTATATTAGTGCGCATGCGTGAAATTTTCTTTCTGTTTTCTCTCTCTCATAACTTTAGCAATAACCATCATAATGTTAACCTGATAAATACACTTTGATTATTGATATTTTCTATCATACAGCCAACAAATACTGTAAGAGGCTGGACACTGTTCCCCAGTTCACGAAAGCGAACATATCTGAGTAGGATGATATTATTTTTAATATGGCAGGGTTATTAATTTTCTGTTGAACTACAATCGAAGCAACACGTTCATTTTGTTACACTAGAGCATAACGACGGGAAATTGTAATTATCACAGCTAACAGTCTCTGCCGTTTTCTTGATAACATTTCTCATATTCTAAATGCCCGAGGTGATATATGGAAAAAAAAAAACAGTTAAGAAATATACCGATAAGATTTATTGAAATTTTACTGGAAAATTACTTTTACAGAAACGTGCAGGTAAAATTATGGGGAAATAATTGTATTTGAAAAAGAAGTCATGAATTTCAAGAATATCTACAATAATGTAACGGGGAATAAGTTGGCAATAGCAAATCACAATCAAATTTACTAGGGATGCTTTTCGGAAGACATTCGTAGTTCTGCACTACGATAAACGCCCTTGGAAATACTTAAATTAGCAAAAATTTATTCACTATCAACAAATATAACAATGTATTCACATTTACATAAGTTACATGCAGATTACTGTCCTTATATTTGTTGCTATTGTCACAACATTTCGGCTTTTGTGCCCTCCGACCTTCACCAAGGAATTTCAAACTGCACTCGTTATTTAATCTCGTAGATTAAATAGAATGCCTACCAAATCAACGAATATGGCCGCAAAATCAATGGCTGCGACTTTTCACTTAGAATGTACCATGTTGGAAGTTTCCTAGTTGCTGTATCCAGACTGATTGTAAAGAGCCTGAATTCTTTCTGAGTGCTTAAAGAGACTGCTCTGGTAAACAGTTGCATATCGGGATATCTGTAGTGCCATATCGCGCATGAATAGATGTCCCTGCATGTATTTCCAGTGCGTAATGCTGAGGTAATATTATACTTTAGTCACCTTCCGGCTTGTTTGTATTGTCACAGACGATGAACAGTGATAATTATTTGGGCCTTTTTTCTACTTAAAATATTAAAATAATCTCTTCATGACAGTTACAATTAATGGAAATAAGAGTGAACCAGTAAACAAAAAATCACCTACCCACTCAACCTCTTTTTCTCCAATATTCGTGGTATTCATAGCAATTTATGTGGTGTATACTCTTTTCACAGCTAGAATTTTCTGATGTCACAGAGTTCCTATGATGGGATGCGAGGTCTGCAACTTCCATGCTTCCGAAGGCAGCCTTGGAATGACAAATATTATGACATGTTGGCATACTTGACGTTTGCAATTCTTTGGTCGGATGTGTTTTACAAGATGATGATAATGATTGAAGGAGGACGTGGATACCAAGAAAGCCTTCTGGGACGGGGATACCAAGAAAGCCTTCTGGGACGGGGATACCAAGAAAGCCTTCTGGGACGGGGATACCAAGAAAGCCTTCTGGGACGGGGATACCAAGAAAGCCTTCTGGGACGGGGATACCAAGAAAGCCATTCTGGGACGGGGATACCAAGAAAGCCTTCTGGGACGGGGATACCAAGAAAACCTTCTGGGATGGGGATACCAAAAAAGCCTTCTGGGACGGGGATACCAAGAAAGCCATTCTGGGATGGGGATACCAAGAAAGCCTTCTGGGACGGGGGATACCAAGAAAACCTTCTGGGATGGGGATACCAAGAAAGCCTTCTGGGACAGGGGATACCTTCATTCTGGGATGGGGATACCAAGAAAGCCTTCTGGGATGGGGATACCAAGAAAGCCTTCTGGGACGGGGATACCAAGAAAGCCTTCTGGGATGGGGATACCAAGAAAGCCTTCTGGGACGGGGATACCAAGAAAACCTTCTGGGACGGGGATACCAAGAAAGCCTTCTGGGATGGGGATACCAAGAAAGCCATTCTGGCTTTAAGAAGTGTGCACTCGGATAAAAGGGAAGTTCGTTGTTTATCACAAAACGAGTGCTCGTTCTAGTACGAATGTGGACATGCATTTCTCGGGTGCAAGATGGCCTTTCAAGTCCCATACTAGTTTTATATTTATTGTATATAATTCTCATTTCAAATCATGGAAAATATTTAAAGATGTAAATATAAATCATTGTTTTTATTCCTCTCCCCACTTGTTTGTAAATGCGTTTACATATATTATTTGTAAATATGGGAATTAGAATTAGAATTTCATTAAGAACATGAACTGTTTGGAAGATTACGAAAGTAATTGTATAAATGATTTGCAATGGTGAAAAGGAACATTGAACTTTGTTACAGTCAGTGAGTGTGACTAGCTTAATTAAATTTAGGGTAATGATGACCAGCATCTCCACTCCTCTTTGGTCTCGCGCCACATGTTGTATGTTTACAAGTAAATACCGAGACATGCGCATTTCCTTCATTGCAAATGGCAAGTATACGCTCTCAGTGTTTTACAGGGTAAGTTGGTATTTTCACTGTGTGTGTATTAACTTATTTTTCTCAATAAAATAAATGAATAAATTTGATAGTAATTTAATAAACTAGTACGGAAGAGTCGTACATATAAGATGTATAAATATTATATGAATCGTGTTTTAGCAGCATACTGCAATTCATGACAATCCATTTTGTTCTTCGCTAAATGCAAATCTATTATTGAACCAAAATATAAGCAGCTTTTTGCATAGCACAACAACAGAATTGTTTTTATATTAAGGATAATACATCTTGGGTTTTATATTAGATTTTTTGTTCCACTCCTGAGGAATTTTCCACCTACTGAATGACATTATCTTTGATTTCTAATGTCCATAAATTGTAACGTTGACCAGAGTTGATCTTTGTTTCAATTTTTTATCTAATTGCATCCAGTCAGGGCGATTAATTTTACTCATTCTCTCTTAAATATTCTTAATTATGTTCCTAATTGGAATTTTACTTACACGTTATTAAACAAGTAGTTCCCTCAGTTCTTAATTTGTTTTTGCTTATTTGTTTGTCTTTGACCATAAATTTGGGTAAATAAATTTTCTTTCTATAAAGATTAATTAACGATATTTGTATTTGTTCTCTTCTCGCGTGATTTTCCAATAGGAGTTTCTTTTTTACTTTTGCTTTTTGTTATTTCGAACTGGAATAATTTTGAAAAGATAACAGCACGTCTCCAGGCCTTTGTTTGACTGCTTTACATTCGAAAGTAAAATTATGGAACTATATACACATTAAATAAAAAAACTTATGCTTCTGTACATATTCAAACGAACATACCATAACTTAATGTTTTAAATATAACTAATGTACTGTTGCCTTTTTTAATAGCAATTTTAAATGTGAATAAATGCCAACATTGAAATTTCGAGACAAACATTGAGTTGTGACTATTACTTAATGAATGTTATTTTCCTTTTGTCTTTGCTTATTCGCGCCTGTGCTTTAGCGCCAATTCTGCTTTGGATTTCCATATTTGTTCGATAAAAAGCAGAGACTTTTTTATACTTCAGAGAGTTTCAGACGATGATTTATTCATGTATCTTTGCATTGATTTAATGCTTGAAGCCGTGACGAGATGGATTCTTCTTAAACATTCCTGTTTGTTTTACTTCACTTTTCCACAACAACGATCGTTGGTACAGTATTTTTTTTTTTTTTGTTGTTTTTTTTTTCTATTCTGTTTAACTTATTTCATGTTGTTAAAAAATTGATGGAATTGACCAAAAGACTTTTATTGAATGTGGCAAACAATCAGAATGGGTTTTCATTTAAAAAGAAATGATTCATAGTGTGCTAATACATTTTACTTCCTTTTCATCTTTTCGACTTCCTCTTCTCACTCTTTTCATCTGCTTACTCTTCATATTACACCGCCGGTTAATTATCCATTTTTTCAAATACTCATCTACCCAAACCAATTCTATTTATTGCTCATTTACATTCTCTTACCTTTCTTCACCCCCACCCCCAAATTCTCTTTGCTATAAAAGCTCATACTTTTTCTATTTAATCAATTTCCCTTTAATAATTTACTCCTCATCCAGTTATTCTTTCCCACTAATTTTCTACTATAACTTACTATTTTATCCATACACGAAACTGTTCATTTTTCTACTTCAACGTTTCCTTTACTTGTTTGTAATCGCTTTCTTTTGATTCGTCATCGTATTTTATGAAACTACACTACTGAAAAGTTTCAACCATACTCCATTTTTTTTTATCTGTTTTTTTTATATATATATATATTTGCTTTTACAGATAAAGAAAATTCATTTTAGTCAAATTCCTTCGGCTGCAAGCTTTCTACCGTTTTACAATTACAAAATTGTTCAGTTGAAACTAATAGATTTCAGGAAAATTTGTCCATTTTCTTCAAGCTTATTGACATATTGTTGATATTTATGCGTTGTATAAAACGTATGTTTTTGAAATAGCTAATTAAAAAGTAATTGCCATCTTTGAAAATCACTTTTCAACTTTTAAAATAATGAGTCCACAGTCGAGGGAACGAAATGAAAATGCTATTTGATCAAATCGATCTATTTTAGATGTTATAAATGTAAGATAGAGATGGTGCCGTGGCAAACTTTTAAAATTCAAAAAAGCTTTTTACATACGATTAGCATTTCATCGTGAAGTTTTCAATTTCGTTTCTGATTTAGATAAGAAGCGTTACTTATTCCAACTTTTCAATAAGTGCCTGTAACACATGGCATCAAATTATGATCATAAAGCTCGTAAAAAGAGAAACATTATGCACCTTTCTAAACATACATAATAGGATCTGGAAAGAAAATTCTGCGATCATAAAATTGCGATAACACATAAATAGCACATAAAACAATATTTCATCGAAAAGGTCAATATATGTTGAAATATCTTAAAGAAAACATTTTCTGCAATGACATAAATATACTTGACTCCTCAGCAGATATTAATTACCGTGTCCTTTTTTTAAAAACTCTACATTTCATTTTCTGATCAATTCTATTTCTTTTTACTTTGGTTTAATGTCCCTAACATATAAAGACAATTGTAAGAAGATGAATATGATGAGTATTTTATTGTCTCCAATATTCTAGTTTTATTCCCTCATATATTTCACTTTGATGTCTTGCGAAAGAAATTACAGCAACGCTTGCGATTATTTTACCTTTTAAATTGGAAGAAATGTTGACGAAGTGCCTGCACATCAAACTGTATAGTGGTTTCTAAAACTCTTTAAAATAATTTAAGTTCAGGAGCATGCCAATTTCTTCTGCAATACGCAAAACACAGTTTCAGCAAACAGCCTGTGAAATATGAATAAATAATATGAAAAGGCTTTGAAACCGTTTGCAAAACAGATGGAATTAAGAAAAGAATTTTTTTTTTCTTTAAAAAGAACCTTTTGCTTGAATCAGAGCGGTGCATTTCCTGACTAAATGAAAGCTTTTTTGCAAGTTACCTGTTTACAAAATATGAATTTGAATTGCTGTTACAGGGCGAATTTATAATTGGGTACAGTTAATCCTGGGGTTTCCGGGCTTACGACCATATCACGTTGAAACACCGGTTCTCGTACGATCACTGAAGTTAAGCAACGTCGAGCCTGGTCAATACCTAAATAGGTGACCACTTGAGAATACTAAGTGCTGTAAACTTGGATGTACGGCTGGGGTAATGGATAATGGCTCGGAATTGAAAATCGGAGAACCGAGTTCTAAATCCAGTCCGCTTCGTTATATTCACTTACGGGCAAATACACTTCGGAAAGGTATGAATTGACTCTACCCCCTCTAAGAATCAGTAAATCATTATTATTTCAAGAAAAACATACAATTTAAAATATTCACTGGCTTTAAAAACCTGCAAAATGTTGATAAGCCGTAAAACAAATCACTCAATCAATTGAGGTTTCTGTTTTTTTTTTTTTTTTGTTTTTAATCAGAAAAGATCTGTTATGTACATAACAACAAAAATGGGTTTGTAGATTTTCTGGCGGAAAATAAACTTGACGGTGTTGGAGGGGCTAAATGGCGTTCAATATGAGTGAACATTTTTTATAGGTTGTTTGTTTAAAACAATTTTCTAAAACATCTTTAGAAAATATTAAAATAGCGATTATTTAGAATCATCTTATGGAACCGCACAGTTTTTTTGTTTTCCTATGGTGTCTCTTACCTCATTATCATTTTCTATACTCCTTCCTCCTCCCTCCCATCTGTGTGTGTGTGTATGTGTGTATGTGTGTTTGTGTGTGTGTGGCCAAACAAAATTCAAGTTTATCTAATGATGTGCGAGTGTCCTACAGCAATTTTGAGTAACAATGATAATAAGATAATAAGAACTTTTATTCGCTTATCCTAGTGACACTGGAATATCGATATCAATAATTTGTAGGATTGCCTTTTTATCTATATTTAGAACGTTATAATCTGTTTAGCAACATTGTTATAGATAAGGTCATAACCTGCCCGATTGAAGGATGCGACCAAGTACTCATTGCGAATTGTGTGACTAATTAATTACACACACACACACACACATATATATATATATATATATATATATATATATATATATATTGCTCAGTTAGTTTTGATCATAGAACGTATATAACCAGAAAACATACCCTAAACAGAAGAACAGCGTTCGCTTTTTCCTTGCCTTTTGAGAGTACAGTTCTAAGATCCGAGGCTACGATTACATTACTGTAGATAGACGATTTGAAACGAGAAACCTTTGTCCTTGCTTGATTTCGACATTTAACATTCTAAATAAATCGATAACAGGAGAAAAACGCATTGCATTTCATTTTCTACTACAGCTGAACAAAAAGACATCAGCCGTTTCATGACCCTCATATATTGACAGTTACAATCACAACTTGATTTTGTCTCAAACCAGTTGCGTGAAAGTCATTAAGTAAACTTCTATTTTTTTCGTGTAATTGACGTGTGATTAAAAATATCACCGGCACAATATTTAAAAAAACGTAAATTCTGTTTCCTATCTTTCATTCACTTATATTTACAAATTATCTGCCTATTTTGCAACGAATTTTCGCTCATAGGAACTTCATTTTGAGTTACAAACAAGTTAAAATATTAAATCCGCAAATTTAAATTGATATCATCTCGCTATAAAAATGTTCAATTGTAAAACGACATTGAACATTCTGACATCACGAATAATTAGTGTTAAAATATTCAGTAAAAATCCGTTTGGCACCAGCAATCGATTAAGTCTTAAATTTTAGAAGGAAAACGGGAATGATCGCTGGGGAGTCTGCACATTCATAGCAGGTGGCTTTTGCTTTTCATTTTGTGTTAATGAAAAGGGAAATTGCTTCCGTTTCAAATAAAATGACATAATACATGAGAGACAAGAAAGGCAAATTTGAAATATTAAAATTGCCTCTCCTTTAGATTTTTTTTTCTTTACCAATAAGCCATCACTTCATTTTAGGCGGGAAGGATTTATTTATTTAAATATTGTATGGCAAATTTATTGTCATGAACCACTTTCCGATTCTTGAGCAAATTTGATGCATAAAGTCTCCATAAATATTTTATGTTCTTTTCTTTTTTTATTATTCCAGTTGTTAATCATTTTTTACAGATTTCAGAAAACCTTATTACTCGTGCTTGTCAGCGTAATGAGATACAGTTATAAAATTATATTAATTACAAAACTGTAAACAATTTAAAATTTAAACTTAAAAAAAACCCTTTGCTTGAGTCAAATCATTGCTTTTCCTGGCAAAATGAAAGTGTTTTTTTTTTTGTTTTTTTTTTGCAAGTAAGCTCACTAAAGCTACTTAATGAAATGTGAACTTGAATTGCTGTTACAGAGTACTTATAATTTGGTACAGTCACATTTGAGGTTTCTGGACTTACGACCATATAACGTTGAGACACCGATTCTCGTACGATCACTGAATTTAAGAAACGTCAATTCTGAATTTTTCTACAACATATTTTTAGTATTATTTGATAAAGTCGCATAAAAGTATTTTTAATTAATATCCATCGTTTCAGTTTTCTCTTTGGTTTGAATGTGACTAATTCATTAAAAGTTATGTTTTAAAATGTATTTTTATTTAAAACTGTTACAGTTTAGTTTTAAATTATTATAGATTATCTCATTCAGTATTCATTGTTCTAATGTGATTAAAAATCACTGTCATATGTGTAGATATTCAGTTGCGCTTTGCACACTTACTTATCGCTCTACATGTTCCACAGTACTTCGTGTCCTAAAGACTTTATATAATCCAATAAATGTTTATATATGCAGAGAATTTATCTTCTTTACTAAGATTCGGATATATATTCCTCTTGTAATTATCCATTCTTGTTTTTCATCCGTTATTTATTACAGTTGTTGACTAGAATCGTTGAATACTTCAATATATTTAACAACTGCCTAGTAGTTTGAGACACAATCTCAATGCATCGCATTATAGAATTGGCAGTCGAGTTATATAAGAGTCGCTGTCTTTATCGTAAAAATAATGATATATAGAATTAAGGTTTAGATAATGCTAAAGGCAAAAGACATACTTTGTGATTGCTGAATGACTCTACATAGAATTATGAAAGCTGTTCTCTTCAGTAATCAGATGCATTCACACAACTGTCTAGATTGGAGTTTCTTTAATATAAGATGTTAGCTTAGTAGTTCAAAAGCGCCTATGCGGCCTTATGGGTGATGAATTATTTTCCACTCTGTAATCTATTTTCCCTACAGACGAAACTTCACAAGCATCTCGCTTACTCGATCGCTATTTCCATGGCAAATGTTCTGACCAGCTACATTCCTTAGTTCCACCAGTTCAGACCATCACAGCTAAGACCTCACATATGAAGAACACTGGAATGGATCATCCTCATTCCATTCGGACAGCTTCTTCCCAAGAACCGCTACTTTGTGGAACAGACTCCTGAGAGGATACTTAGCAATCAATTATTTACGTCTTTAAGTCTAGGCGTAACTATTAGTCTTTTTTCTATATTGCCTTATAAACTGTATTTCTTTCCTCCTCTAACACTTTAAGAAGATCTTTCACTAACCCTCTACTCTGAGTGGCTCTTAGACCTTGTACCGCGTGAAAAATTAGTAAAAAAAATGCTGTTAATTAGTCAAATAGTCACAATCACCACTATCATCAAGATCAACTTGAAATAATTATTATAATCAATTAGTAATCAAATTTAACTTATGTTGGTGAAAAACAAACAAAATGGGTTCTATTATTCTTTATTCCTTTTTACCTCAAATATCTCCAGATTCACTGAAGATAGTTTTATTTTTAAAAATTGTGTTTACTAAAGAGAGTTTTCTTATTTTTTTTTGCCATCAATGTTACTAATATTTTTCAGGGC